TTTCTGCCCTGATGCGTAAGATTTCGGTGAACTTTTTTGCTAATAATTTTCTTTTAACATTTTTTTCCTATCATTGTGCGCCACTTTATTAACAAGTGCATTCACAGAAAACAAAGTGTGAGCTACTGTCGTTTTCCTTTCTGAAAAATGTTTTCTAAAATTTTTTATTTGTTGTGTTTTACAACCACTAAAAAATTTTGCTAGCCGACTTTTTGCAAACTATAACACATGGCTCCTCCAGTGAAATTTCTAACACATCTGGCTCCTCCAGTGAAGTTTTATGAGGCGCTGCTGCGTAAGAAACTTGTGCCCAGCCCTACGAGCCATGAATTCCTGTAACAACAAAGCAAGTCTAATTCACACTTCTTTTAACCAACGAATTGCTGCATATAAACTAAAGTACAGTGACCGGTCCTGCATCGGCAAACAACACAGCACACCGACAGATTCAGAAAGCGATTCAATTCAATTCCGTTACGGCTATTTGTCATAAGCAAAGAAGTCTACTTCCCTCCCCTTGCCCTTTGCTCCTTGGCACACTGCTCTCTAAGTATTTAAAAAGTCTAGTAAGCCTATTTTAGTTGCCATAAAAAAAAATTTAAAGCAATTAATGGCGTTTTACTGCGCATGCAGTTTAAATTAAAGCATGAACAGTTCGAGATCCTTCCGATGCATCCAAAGCGTTTTTTATTTCAGTTGAAGAATGTCCTGTACCATTCGGTGGTTTATTCGAAATAAATGCTTTTCTATTTTTGCTTATTCTGTGCTTATCAGTTTCTGATTCCAAACCAAAACTTTTCAATAGAGAAGAAGATTTCTTTAGGAATGTGCCGCTGAGCATTTCTGTGAAAGTTTTTGCGTTCTGGTTCCTGCTGAATTCCCACGGTCAGCAGCAAGTGTTTTCCATCTCCTTTGCAGCGCACGCATAAGATGTTAGGATCCAGAAAGAGGCCACCCATTCATTCATGTTGACCACCACAATTCCACATGTGGAAGACGCATAGCAATCGTGACTCGATGACGCGCTCTTAAGACCTTTCACGATAAATGCCTAGGATTGTCCTAATATAACTGTGTTCCTAATAATCGCTATGGAAATATGTTTTCAGCGTCGGCGGTTTATTGAAAAGTGGAGCTTACGGAGCATTGAAAGGTGCCGGTGTTGGAGCTGCGGTTGGCGGGATTGCTGGGCTGATTGGATGAAAAATTCATCAATTACTCTGCAAGCATTTTTCCCCGGCATTGTCTGTAAAATTTTTGTGACCTGTACCGTTTCAGTATATTGTTGTGCATACCTTAAATGAACCGCACGTTTTCATTCACAAGTAATCAGAAAGAAAAA